ACTAAGCAATTCATTCATGAAAAAAATAAATTGTTTTGAGATGGAGACAATAGGCTACCCACGCCATTAAGTGATCTTTCCACTTCATTCTCCCAAATAGCCAGGGCTAGAAGTATGCACGTTACTGCGTCTGGATGCAACTTCTTATGAGAGTGATAAGACCCTTCAGATAGTGAGGATGGGTCACCAAAACATCAGCACATCAGTCAATAAGTGATTAATAAACGTATGTACTTAGTTCAAATAACTAAATGTAGATTTGGAATGGATGTATAGGCGAATGCTGGTGGCCATGTCAGAGGAGTTGCCGTCATCAATGGAGCTTATGGGATACACCTCAGAGGATAACAAAGATACTCTGGGTGCATCGTGGAGAGGCAGAGCCTTGGAAGGATTGTTCCCAGAATGCCCCTGGCTTCTCCTGAGCTTCCTCCTGCTTGCTGCTGTCCTGTTCCCGCTGTACTTGGCACGGTGTGATTACTACAGGAAAGGATCCTACTCTATCTAGTACAGTGCGACTGTTTCCTGGGAACATCCCACTCCTCACTGGGGAATTTACTTACAGATTATAATGAAGTTGATTTTTATAAGAACAATGATGATTAATTAGATCTGTGATTTAACTGAACTTTCTGAAGTAGCCCAAAAGACACAGGTGGCGAGGACAGTTAGTAAAGATGAATGGGGACATGATTCAGGTTGTTCTTGTTCTGCCAATTGCTCCACTAAGAGATATAAAAAAGGCAAAAATGAGCTAAAAGCCACCTTCCTCTTTGTTAGACATGAGCTTTGCGGAGGATAGAAAATAAGAACAAGGAAGTTTCATTCATTATAGACTCGTGAATTCTGCCTGTGAAAAACAGGCCGATGACTAAAGAGAACAATTATGTCCCTACACCCCAGGTTAGGCCTAGTTCCTTGGTCATGTGATTAATTACAGAATTAATCATAGGCCCCAGTACGCACGTTGAAGAAACAAAGTTGTAAAAGGAAGTTAAACGACCCTATTGTGTGCAAAGGAAAATAGATGGTGAAGTGAGCCCTTGATTAAAGTTTCTCTAGAGTAGAATTAAGAATAGAAATCTACACCAAAACCACAACAGCTGCCAGCTGGTACAAAAAAAAAAAAAAAACCTGGCTGAAATTGACTTGGCTTGCTTAAAACTTTGTTAATCAATTATAGAAGAATCATTGCTTTGTGATAAAGAAAAATATTTATCTACTTGTGGACTTTTGAGAAGAACTTGTGACTTTTGACCCTAATGAGACTTCCGTGTAAAGATTTTACTTTGTTTTGGAGACTATGTAACTTGTGGCTGTGAGGTAATCTTTTCTTGCATAGAAGTCTTTGTATGAGGAGGTAAAATGTGGATAAGACAAAAAATAAGAGACAGAAGAAGGAAAGATACAGGAGAAAACCATCTGGGAAAAAATGGAAGGGAACCATCAGGGAAGAAACAGAAGGAAGACACCAGAGAAGAGTTAAAAGGATAATATCAAAAAGATGTACAAAGAGAACAATGGGGGGGGGGGAATAAAAGAAAAACAACAGGTTAAAAGTAACACAGAGAAAAAAATAGAGTAAAAAGAACAACCAGGAGAGAGAGAGAGAGAGAGAGAGAGAGAGAGAGAGAGAGAGAGAGAGAGCGAAGAGCAGTGTGATGAGAATAGCAAATAAGTAGACCAACTGAATCCTGCCTTAAACTTACTTAATAAAGCAATACAAAATTATTTGAGAGAGAGAGAGAGAGAGAGAGAGAGAGAGAGAGAGAGAGAGAGAGAAATAAAATGAAGCATTAAGCTTCGGCCCCCAGATAAAGTTCCTGTGTGTGTCTGTGCATCTGTCCACTAGCTTACCTGGTTCCTAGCTCCTCTCCAGTCTCTCTGAACTGCTTAAAGCTGGCCTTTTGGCAGCAGGCAAACTTGAGAAATGACCCCTAATTGTAAAGTCTTGGTATGTGTGGACGAGAGTAAAAGTTATCTGGGTTAAGTGGAAGAGCGGAAGCGGGTGGTGGTGTCCACTGTTTGCTTTTCTCATTTCCACCCACTCACCAATGAGTCCAGGCACAATAACTGAGCTTCAGTTCCAGAAATCAGATCACGTGGACCTAAGTTCTAAGCCTACTATTTACCTTGGGCGAGTTAATTTTTTCAGTTTGCTCATCCATGAAATGACAACCATAAGGGCACCCATCTCGGGGCCAGTGAGATGGCTCAGCACATAGAGGTGCTTGCTGCCAAGTTTGACCACCTGAGTTCGATTCCTGGAACCCACATGGTGGAAAGAGAGAATACCCACATGGTGAAAAGAGAGAACTGACTCCCTCAAGTTGTCCTCTGATCTACACACACACACACACACACACACACACAGTGGTATGTTCTCACTCCCAATAAATAAATAATAACCTATTGCATACAGTTGTTGCATTAATAACACTTTCAAAAAGTTATTATTGCCTATGTTAGTTACTGTTCTGTTGCCCTGCAGAGACACCATAACCAAGGCAACTCTTTTTTTTTTTTTCCAGACAGGGTTTCTCTGCGTAGCTTTGCGCCTTTCCTGGAGCTCGCTTGGTAGCCCAGGCTGGCCTCGAACTCACAGAGATCCGCCTGGCTCTGCCTCCCAAGTGCTGGGATTAAAGGCGTGCGCCACCACCACCCGGCTCCAAGGCAACTCTTATAAAAAGAAGCATTTAATTGGGGGCTTGCTTACAGTTTTAGAGGGTTAGTCCATGATCATCCTGACAGGAAGTAGACAGGCTTGGTGCTGGAGCAGCAGCTGGGAGCTTCCCATTGTGATCCATAGGCAGCAGGCAGAGAGAGAGAGACAGGGCTTGGCATGGTCTTTTGAAATCTCAAAGTCCACCTTCAGTGATACACCTCCTCCAACAAATACACACCTTCCAATCCTTTCCAAACAGTTCCACCAACTGGGAGCCAAGCATTTAAATATATGAACCTATGGGGTCATTTTCATTCAAACCACCACAGTACCCAATGTGCTGTAAATGTTACTGTTTTAATTCTGTAAGTTATCATCATCCTGCAGATTTTCAGCAATATTTCTTTTCATTCTCGGTCCTTTTAAAGATGACCTTTAAGACAATGCCATTTTAACATCATGAGAAATTGAAGATAGTTTGCAAACCACCTTCTTGGTATCTTGACAAGAAAAGATGTCAATAGCAAATAGCAAACCATCAAAAACAAATACATTTTAAAATGTTTATGGTAACAATTATTCTCCCAAGCCTCAGAAGCTACATATTAGAAATGTATGTTACCTGACAGAGAGGAACTGAGACAGGTGCTTCGGAGCATCATACATATTAAAGGCCTTTTTTTTTTTTTTTTTTTTTTTTTTTTTTGGTTTCTTGAGACAGGGTTCCTCTGTGGAGCTTTGGTGCCTGTCCTGGATCTTGCTTTGTAGACCAGGCTGGCCTCAAACTCACAGAGATCCGCCTGGCTCTGCCTCCCGAGTGCTGGGATTAAAGGCGTGTGCCACTACCGCCAGGTGCATATTACATGTCTTTAAGGAAGTGTGCATCCATTGGGCTGGGGAGATGGCTCAGTTGCTATAAGTCAGTACAAGGGCCTGAATTTGACCCCAGAACCCATGTTAAAAACAAACAAACAAAAACAATAAAAGCTGGGGAAAGAGACAGACAGACAGACAGACAGACAGACAGACACACACACACACACACACACACACACACACACACACATTCCCACTGTTGAGAGTCCCACAAGAAGACCAAGCTACACAACCATCACATACATGCAGAGGACCTAGCTCGGACCCGTGCAGGCTCCATGATCGCCGCTTCAGTCTCCGTGAGCTCCATGAGCCCTGCTTAGTTGATGCTGTGGGCCGTGTTCTCATGGTGTCCTTGACCCCGTGGCTCTTGGGGGACCCTTTCCCTCTGACTGGGTTGCCTCATCCAGCCTTGATATGAGGGTTTGTGCCTAGTCTTATTGTAACTTATGTTTGGTGGTTGTCCCTGGGAGGACTTCGCTCTCGCTCTCACAGAAAATGGAGGAATAGTGGACCTGGGGAAGAGAGGAAGTGGGGGAGGGACTGGGAGGAATGGACGGAGGGTAAAGTATGGTCGAGAAATACTATATGAGTGATATAATATATGAGAGAATATTTTTTTTTAAAAAAGCTGGGTTCACTGGAGTTTAGTTATAATCCCAGTGGAGGAGACAGATCCCGAGGGGCTCACCAGCCATCAAGCCTAGCCTAATCTGCAAGCCCCAGCAAGTTAAAGGACCCTGTTTCAATGGAAAGGTGAATGGTGCCTGAGGAACAGTAGTTGAGGTTGTCTTCTGACCTCCACAATCATGTGCATATATGTGCACACACACAATTTAGAAGAGGAAGTATGTACCTCTCAATGAATTTGTTTATATAGAGAAGAAATGAGATCCATGAAAGTAATGTCGAATTTTACTTTGGGTGCAGAGATACTCTTCCAGGGTGATCCCCGCCCTCCCCCCCCCCCAGTTGTTCTCTGACATCCTCTTTTCTGCTACATTCACACGAGGAGAGTCAAAGAGGTACCCAATGAGAGGGAGCAGAGGGAACAGGATGCCAGGAGCAGGGCGCTCACATGGAGCCATTTTCTCTGCCGCTCTGGACTTATAGGATCTTGTTGGCATAGAAGAAGAGCAGGACCTCAGGATGATAATGGCTCTGGAAGAAATTTTTAAAAGGTACATGTGAGGTAGGTTGCCATACAGGACACGGGGAGAAGAGGCAGGAGTGGAAGCAGCCAATGATTAGAACTGAGCCAACGGTAATTCTGTGCATCATCTTCCAGGAACCTTGTGGTTTACATCGCCTTATGAATCCACGCAATTGCAATACTAGCCTAAGTTACTTTAGGAGGTAGGAGGCGGTAACTTCCTGCTGCACTGGGTCCACTTCCGGTGTTAAGTGCCTGAAGGTGAGGGACTCCCAGGAGAATTCTCTCCTGCCCTGGCTCACTCACCAGCTGCCGGGAAAGCCTGGGGTTCCTCTGATCTTCTTCACTTTGGAAACCCCGCTCCTTCCTGAGTTTCAGGTACGGAACACAGGCTCGAACGGTCGTTTTGCAAGCCTGAGGAAAATAACATTGCCATCCAATTGGCTAAACTGTTAGAGAATCCCAGAATGCCAGGCATGGGAGGTGATCCCAAAGGACTGTAGACAACCTAAGGTCAGAGCCACCGAGGCTGGGAAAGTAATATTCAGGTCGTTTGTGAGCTTGAAACTTGAAGGATTTGTGGCTCCGTCTGTGGCCCGTGGAGAGGGCACAGCTCTGCCATGTACACAGCTCTCTCACAATTACACACATCCACGATCTCTCTTCCTCCCTCCCCCCAAAGTGGTTTTGTAGAACTCTTTGCACCTCTCCCAGTCCCATCATCCTTTGGGGGCCTGGCCTTACCTATCTAGCTGGCACTGACGGGTGTTAGGTTGGGCAGAGACAGGTCAAAGGGGAGATGGGGGAGATCGTACCCTGGAGACCCCTTTGCCCAGCTTTACATAGACACCCTACAGGCCATTCTAACTGGCGGGAACTCCAGGGCCTGGCTTCTCCGCTTAGCAGAGCTGCCCTAACCCCCTCTGGGGACCGCAGAGATTTCACAAAGTGAGTCAAGAATAAGGCTGTCTCACCTTGGCAACCTGAGGGCTTTTGTCCTGTAAATGGGTCAGGAGGGAATCTTGTGTCTGGTTAACCTGGTGGGTGAAAAATTTCTTCCATTTCCTCCCAGCAAATGCAGCCAGTTGCCCAAACAGAACAAAGGCCGAGTACCGCACACTGTCGTTCTCCTGTGGGTTTCCATCAACAAAAACAAAACAACAAAAAGCCAGATCACCATCATCAGATCTCCATCAGAGCAGATCCCAACCATCATTCTGAGCTGCCCATTGAAAGTGAACATCATATTTTTGCCATATCTCCTGACTTTGATACACAGATTTTTGTTGTTTGTTTGTTTTGATTTGGTTTTGGTTTTTCCAGACGAGGTTTCTCTGTGTAACAGTCCTAGCTGTCCTGGAACTTGGCTCTCTAGACCAGGCTGGCCTCAAACTCACAGAGATCCACCTGCCTCTGCCTCCCTCAGTGCTGTGATTAAAGGCGTGCGCCACCACAGCCCTGCTGGTACACAGATTTTTATATCCCCACTTCATGGTCCTGTCCAGGCTCCAGGGAAACCAGTGAGAACAGGGTGTGGGCCTCTCCAAAGGGAAAAAAAAAGCATCTAGAGTCGGGTCACAAAGACTGAGACAGAACTGATCATTTTGTGAATTATTCAAAAATAGATTTTAGCATAAGTGACTCATGTAAATTGCCTTGGAGTGGCATTCTGCTTATTTCTCTGTCCAGGGTGTAAGTATGTTTAAATACAATTGAGTGAGAACTTGCCCCAAGTCAACCCTCCCCTGAGGCCTAGGTATAGGAATGCACAAGCCAGGTGCCTGTCTCCTAAGAACGTGGCGATCATCTGGTGGGGGTACATGTCCTGACAAACATGGCATGAAACAGGCCATATTTAGAGTGTAACTCTTAAGTAGACTCTGCCAGTAGGCAGTGCTGTGTGGGGATTTCCTTTTCTACATGGCCAAGGATTCTGCTCAAGAAAATGACATGTAAACTGGGTTTCAATAGGAGTTAGAAAAAATTAACTAAAGTTCAGACGGCACCAGAAGGATTTAAGGATATGTCCTCAAGATGTATGCTGACATCCTAGCATGGTAATGTAAACATCGTCTCACCCTCTTCTCAGACAAGACAGGTTTGCACTCAACGGCAAACATCTAGGCAGGGTAGATGCCTGTAATCTAGGTAGGCTCATGCTGTAATCTCAGCACTCGGGACCTGAGGCAGGAGGATGGCCATGACATCAAGGCCAGTCTGGGCTATCTACTGGGTTCCAGGCCAACAAGGGCCACCTCCACTGAAATATTAACATCTGTCCCTGTGGATAAGGACGAGCCCTGACAAGCATGCCAGCAGCCCTGATGTAAGTTCTGAACTCTGTAAGCTCAATGTCTCTTCTTTTCTCTATTCAGCCACTGTGTGGCTCCAGGAGGAGTTCGGATGGGGGGGCAGGTGGAAGTTGCTCTGGGTTATGTCTGAATAAAGGTCTGAGGTATGACTGACAGGTGTTGTCTGATTGTCGGCTTGCAAGTCAGTTACGGAAGAGTCCTCACTTCGAGATTACATGTTGCACCTGAGCACTTCTTGGTTGGCGCATTTTGTCTTGTGGCTGACAGGGCATGGGCTTCGGTCAGAGGGCTGCTTTCAGGATGCATGCTGGCTCTGTGAACTATGGGCAGGCCCTAGTCTTTCTGTGCCTCAGTTTCTTCATTTTATTATAAAGACCACTGTAGCACCCATGGAAGAGGGTTGATGTAAGGATGCATAAGTATCCATGGCAACTGCCTGGCACTGTGAAGGGCACACAGGAAGGGCTCACTAAATGCTGACTTGTTACATAAAAGGGAGAACTGAGCAGCAGCTGGCATCTTCATCGCTAGTGTGCATGCTCACTTCCCTGTTGACATGGAAACTCCTTGAGAGGGAGTGAGAGGATACTATATAGCCTTTCTGTTCTCCATAACCCCCTCCCGTAACTCCTCTCAATACAATTAATTCGTCAATTAGAGAGTGGTGCAGACCTTGTTCCTGAGAAACCCACTACCCAGGATTCTCATTCCTTTTTGTTTTTGTTTTATAAGACAGGGTCTCTTTATTAGTCCTGGTTGTCCTGGAACTCACTATGCAGACCAAACTGGCCTTGAACTCACAGAGATCGGCCTGCCTCTGCCTCTGCTGGGGTTAGAGGCAGGCATGCACCACCACCACATGGCTCAGTCTGGGGTTCTCACTTCTAACCCAGGACAATTTCACAGCCCCAAATTTTATGCTTACCCTTCTCACTTACATCATCCAATAAAGTCCTGGTCTGAAGGGTGATGTCTATGAAGAAGGAGCCCAGGCCTTGGCCCTGGATCTTGCCCAGCATGATGGTCAGAGTCTTCACACTCTCGTGGATAACTTCAGAACTCACAGGATCATACAGTCCATGCACCAGGAGGTCAAGGAAAACTTTCTTGTACTTTCTCACCTGCTATCAAGGTTGGAAAAGCGTTAGCATCACACACATTCACACACACACACACACACACACACACACACACACACACACACACACTATTCAAGTTGAAAAGCAACTCCATCCCTAATTTTCCAATAGCCACAAGCTGGGACTAAGAGGCCCTAGCTTTCTTTCCCTTCTTCTTTAAATTAATACTTGTAGTTAATGTAAAAAAAATAATGGGTTTTGTTATGGCTTTTTAACATATACATCACTGTAGTTTGCTCATGCTCATCCCCCACTACCCTTCCCAACCTCCCTCCCCCCACTTCTGCTGCTCTCCTTCTTCCTTACAAGTTGTCCTCCCTGTTCGTGTCATCCACGTGTATAACATATAATAAAATGTATAATATATATGCTGCACGCATGTACGCACGCATACACACTCTTTCTTCTGGATCTGCCACCAACTCTTATCCAAATACAAACGTTTCTAGTAACCCAGCCTAAGAGCCCTCCTAGGTCTTAGAAGAACAGAAAGGACAAACAGGAATTAGGCCTCTGGGTGATGGAACTAGGAAGGTACTTCAAGAGCAGAGGGTAGACAAGAGTGTTCCAGGGCCCTTCCGAGAGCTGGGTGACTTGATAATGGAGAGGACATAAACGTGACAGGTGCTGAGGGATGGGGTATGAAAATGTCTCTCACGAAACAAACAAAAATTATGAGAAAAATCGTTTAAACTCTCCAAGAGAGTGGTATGAACTGTAGTGAAAGAAGTTGCTGTAGCTTCTTTCTGAAGGCTGACAGAGCTGGGGCATGCCGGCCCGCAATGACCTTGAGTGAGTCACACCCTTGTATAATCTGTTCTTCGCCCATGTAAAAAGAACCAGTGGCTTGCTTCTAGCCAGATGTGACCAAAGTAACCAGATGTCTCTCCTGGTTGCTAAGCTACATTATATAAGACTCCAGTAGAGCAGACAGGAGTGAGAGACACCTTGAAGAAACAGGTTACCGGGTTTTGAGAGTGTGGATCCTGGGTACCGGGGGGTGGCCCCCGGCAGACAGCCAGCAAGGAAAGAGAAACCTCAGTCCTACCCTTGGAAGAGTCAGTTCTGCAAAAAGCCACTCTTGGAAAAGTGCCCTGAACCTCAGGTAGACAGTCTAGCCAACAGTGGTTTGCCACCTTGCAAGATGCTGAACTCCGGACCCAGCTCTACAATCAGGCCCCGGAACACAGATACCACTGCTTGCTGCTAGGTCTGTGTGACTTGTTACAGTGTTCGCCGTCCACGGGCACCTGCCTGAGCTGTGGGGACCCCATGCCCTGAGGGCTTAGAGTCTCGGGAAGGTTGTCGAAACTCCACCTCCCCCTACCTTGTCAGGGGCTTCACGGGCCATGGTGCCCAGGCATCTCATTGCCAGATGGCGCTTTTTAGCATTAGGATCCCGGGCTTTTTCTGCCAAGATGAAAAACGCATTCTTCAAAGGCTCCCGCTTCTGCAACCTCAGTTTCCAAGAGACCTGGGTGGTGGGTCAAAAGTATATTGTTCAGGGAAGATAGTTCAGTTGGTAAAGTGCTTGCTCGACAAGTAGGAAGATCTGAGCACCCACACAAAATTCCGGGTGCAGTAGTGCATGCCTACAGTCTCAGGACTGGAAAGACAGACAAAGAAAGAACTCTCAAGTTCACTGGCCAGGCAGCCTAGCCAAATCAGTGAGCTCCAGTCCAGTGAGAGTAGAGCACAATGAAGAAGACACCTGACGTTGACATCAGGCATGCCCCCCCATGTGCACGTGAACACACACACACACACACACACACACACACACACACACACACACACGATTCAAAAGGGCTCAGAATATCAGCTCCAATTAGACCAAGAGAGCCTTCATCTAGTAACTGATGGAAGCAGATGCAGAGATCCACAGACAAGCACCAGGCCAAGCTCTGGGAGTCCAGTCGAAGAGAAGGAAGAGGGATTACATGAGCAGGGTGGAGGTGGGGGTGTCAAGATTCTGATGGACAAATCCACAGAGACAACAGGACCAAGCTCATAGGAACTCACGAACTTTATATCAACAGCTGTGGAGTCTGCATGGCACCAGACTAGGCCCTCTACATACAAGAGACAGTTGTGTAGCTTGGTCTGGTTGAGGGGCCCCTGGCAGTGGGATCAGGATCTATCCCTGGTGCATGAGGTGGCTTTTGGAGCCCATTACCTATAGTGGGATGCCTTGCTCAGTCTTGATGCAGGGGGGAGGGGCTTGGTCCTGCCTCAGCTGAATATTCCAGGCTTCACTGACTTCTCATGGGAGGCCTTACCCTTCCAGAGGAGGGGATGGAGGGGGTAGGAAGGCCTGGGGGGTCAGTGGGAAGGGGGATGAAGGGAGAACTGTGGTTGGTATGTAAAATGAATTTAAAAAATTCTTAAAGAAAAAAGATAACTAAATATGTCTAAGCATGTGTGTGTGTGTGTGTGTGTGTGTGTGTGTGTGTGTGTGTGTGTGTGTCAGGATTAAAGCAGGGCTTTGCATGAATTAAGCCCCCACCTCACCACTAGGCTACACTCCAACCTTTAAAGATGATTTACTTTTCTCGACAAATACGTTTGTCTACATAATGAAGACGCTGGTGGAGAAAATCATGCAGGGCTGGTGTGGAGGTGGGTTGGGGAGTTCTGGCAAGAGACCCAACAGTGAACTGTGTGACAGAGGCTAAGAGGAATGGGGCTGTCCTGGAGACACGGGTCCCTTCTACAGCGTGTGCTATGCCGTTACCGCTCCTCCCTGGGAAGCTCCCTCGGCCCTCTTCCTCCTCCAACCCCTTCTCGTCCTTCCGCTGTACCTTTAGCTAAATCAAATGAATGGCATGCTTTATGAGGCCTGCGTGATTCCTCTCTTCCGGTCTGTCTTGATACTTCTGCAGGCAGGCTGATGGCCCTACATCTCCATCCAGCAGTAGTCATCTTCCTCAACCCCTCGCTAGCATGTGACTCAACTGGCAACATCTCAACAACTGTCAATGACACATCTACAAGCATTTCAGGACATTTGAAGGTTGTCCCGACTTCCAAATTCATGTATCTGAGCAATTTAGAAGAAGAAAAAGCAAAAATAACACAATGGGAAAACACTGCACTTTTATGCAAAATCCTACACTTCCACAACTAAATACTAAGTAAGTGCAGGATAAGATAAAGATGAGATGGGAGATAGATCAAGATAAGAGGCCACCTTTCTCACAATCGGATGAGCTGCCTCCCTACTGAGCAGATGAGCTCCAATGACAAGATACTAGGGTTCTTCGGGACACAGAACAAGGCCGCCCACACTAGAGTCAGACCCCAGATGATGAAAAATCCCAACAAGGGGGGCAGGGAGATGATGGGTAGAACACTTGCCATGCCAGCAGAAAGACCTGACATTGAACCCCATGAAAAGCCAGGCACAATAGCACTCGGCTATAATCCCAGTTTCCCTTGGCAAGATGGGAGAATCCCCAGAGGTGCATGAGATGGCTGCTATGTAGAAACAACAACAAGAGAGCCCTTGTCTCAAAAGAGATGGGGGTGAGGACAGACAGACATCCGAGATTGACCTCTGACCTCCACATGTGCATCATGACAGGAACCTGCATTCATACTGGAATGGAGAGAGACAGGGAGACAGAGACAGAGAGAGAGAGAGAGAGAGAGAGAGAGAGAGAGAGAGAGAGAGAGAGAGAGAAAGAAAGAAAGAAAGAGAAAGAATATCAAAGGCAAGCTAGCCCCCATCCTTAGGAAGCAGGAATGGATGCAGGGTCCAGATCCAGCTATTTGCTCAGCACTGTGGATGAGACATTGTAACTTTCCAGCATCATTGCTATTTCTGAGTATTTATTGCAATTCATTTTTTCTTTTAATTTTTGAGTTAGCAGCAAGCTGAAGCCTTCTCATCTCATCTTCTCATAAGCAGCCCCTATCCCTGTTGAAAGAACTGTCATTACATGGCTTCCAGAAGGAAACCAGGCCAAGCAGTTCTAACCAGAGAGCCAGCAGGCTCACCTCTTACGTAGTGATGACTGAGGAGGGATATTTGTGTCTCACCTTGGAAAAGAAAGATTTCACTGGCATCCTTTTCTTCTTGGCCTGCGAAGTGGGGATGGGAGGGGGCTGGCTCAGGAGTCTCTGTGTTTGCTCCATGAAACTAAAAAAGAAAGGAAAAAAATGGACAAAATCACCACATGAGCCACAAACACTCTTCTGAAGTATCATTGTCAACCAGCCTTGTTGTGTGGAGTGTGCCCTGTAGTGGAAGAACATAAAGACTGGGAGTCTTCACCTTGGTGGTGAGCTAGGACTCACAGGGCATGGTCAGACGCTTTCAAGACTGACCGAAAGGAGCAGCAGCTTAAAGCTCCTGGGGGTCATTCCTCCAGTCCATATTTCTCCATCCTATAGACTCCTTATATCACAACTAATCCTATAGACTCCTTATATCACAACTATCCAAGAAATAAAATTCAGATTTTCAGCCCCCACCCACAGAAGCCTCAAGAGTTAAAAGAAGTGGTTGAAATTTTGTGTTTCTTAAAGATCTCCAAAAATACTGATGGAGACAGGGTCTCATGGAGCCCATGGTGACCTTGGACCAGCTTTGGAGATGAGGATGACCTTGAACTTCTGATCTCTCTGCCTCTACCTCCTGAGCGCTGGCATTATAGGTATAGACTACCAGGCCTGGTTCATCTGGTGGTGGGGATGGAACCCAGAGTTTCATGCATGCCAGGTATTATGGTGGGTTTTAGTGTCAACTTGCCACAAATTAGAACCGCCTGAGGAGGGAGCTTCACCTGAAGAATGTTCCTGATTGCCTTGATTGGTGTGGGAAGGCCTGTTCTGATTATAGGTGACGCCTTCTGCTAGCAATCCAGATTATAAGAGAGGTCAGAAAAGAAGACAGTCTTGCTTTCTGTTCTCTTGGCCTTCCTGCTTGGGAATGAGTTAATTTGTGCTGCTGCTGCTGCTGCTGCTGCTGCTGCTGCTGCTGCTGCTGCTGCTGCTGCTGCTGCTGCTGCATTCCAGGCTTCCATTATGGACTAGGAACCAGAGGCACCAGATGGAGACTTCTGGGGACACCCTGCCTTGTAGACTGAGTGATAGCCTTTTGCGGTCCCCCCTCTTCCATGAGAGACAGCTATTGTGGGACTACTCTGCCTGCTGAAACATCCAGCCTCAAGGACCAAGTACGTACCAGGTGAGGAACCCAAGTCCCTGCCCAGACCCCTGCCTTGACTATTCTGCAATCATGACAGGCTGTGGACAATACCCAACAGAATGGAGGCCCCTGGCACAGCACAATATGCCCCTGAGCCCCCAACCTTGAGTCCAGCTCTAGTTACAGGAAAACCCCAACAGATGTCCTCATACAGTAAAAGATGCCCATCAAAAGTTACAGCCAGCAAGGTCAAGATAAAGAAAATATGTAGTAGCCACAACAACTGCTAAGAGAGATGATAGTTTTTTTGCAGCTACAAACTGACCAAGGACAGCACCTATGAATGGGAGAAAACATCAAACCTGAGTCTGCTCCTACATAGCCAATAGACCCCAGACTCCCTTTGCTTCACCCCCTAGCTCTACTTCCTATAAACACCCTGCCCCCTGGCTACTTGGGGTCTCTCCTGCTCTGCTGCTGGGTCAGATGGACGAGAGTCCCGACCGAGTTAACTTGTAGTAAAAAGACTCTTTGCTTTTGCATCGGATTCAGTCTCTTGGTGGTCTTTGGGGGACTCTGGGTACAACACCAGGTTCTCAGCTAACTGTGCACTGAGGAATTGGTTCAGTTTTCTGTAACTTCAGTTCTACACTGCAGGAGAGACGCGTCTCCTCCAGGGCACACTTAGAAGTCATTGGGTTGTTTCTGTGCATCTGGAGCAGGTCAATTTTATCACTCAGCTCAGTTTTTTTTTTCTTTTATACATTTGTCTGAAGATACTAAAATAACCAGCGTTGTTATTTTCCTTATTTCTCTAGAAATGTTCAGAGGTTTCATACATAGAGTCACCAGATTCCACACACCTCACAAGAAGTGCATCAGGATCATCAAATGCAATTGATACATTCTTTAATTCATGCACACCATGGACTTCCAGTGCTCTCCATACTGAGGAGTCTTTAGTAACCATAGGTTCCATCCAGCTGAAGAGTCAGGTTCAGTGGTTCTCTAAGGCCACTAGAGACTCCACTAGAAGAGCTGAGTGTATTGGTGTTTGTTCTGCCCATGACGTTGGGCTATAGGACCCAAAGGAAGTGGTGCTTCCCGCCATTGTACATGACCTCTTAAAAAGGGAGGGAGGTGGGTCACATGCCCCTTCTCCCTGCTGCCTCCCTGCGAGGTGGATTTGCTCCCGGTCAGATCAGAGGACAACTTCAGCTGTCTATTCTGTTCTGTATTTGTGAATGTATTTCCTCTATTTATATCTTAATAAATCCCTACTACTCATTAAATAGACTCATGTGGATTGATCACAGTAGCTCAACCTTACAATTCTGTTTCTCCAGCCACATTCCCAGTACCACAATGTGTTTTAGTGAGGGTCCTCTAGGGGAACAGAACAAAGACACACACACACACACACACACACACACACACACACACACACACACACACACTCACACACACACATACACACATATATGCATTCAAAACCATTACACACACACACACACACACACACGCATTCAAAACCACTACTCCACACACATACACACGCACATGAACGCATAGTTGTGGGGGTGGTTTGAATGAGAACAGCCCCCATGGGCTCATATATCTGAATGTTTGGTCCCCAGTTGGTGGAATTGTTTGGGAAGAATTAGGTGTGGCCTTGGAGGAAGTGTGTCACTGTGGGGTGGGCTTTGAGTTTTTAAAAGCCCACACCATTCCCAGTGTGCCTCTCTCTGCTCTATGGTTGTTGTCTCAACATATAAGCTCTCAGCTACTGCTCCAACGCCATGCCTGCCTGCCTGCGGCCATGCTCCTCACCCTGATGGTCATGGACTCCAACCCTCTGTAGCCATAGGTGCCAAATTAAATGTTTTATAAGTTGCCTTGGTCATGGTGTCCTGTCTCGGCAACAACAACAAAAAAAAGGTGTGTGTGTATGTGTGTGTGTGTGAAGTTATTAAGTCAGCTTTAAAACTGTAACAGCTAAATAACACCCAAGAAACTGAGAGCCCAGTAATTACTCAGTCCTTGAGGCTGGGTGCCTCAACAACTGGAGTTATCCCACAATAGTTGTCTCTCACTGAGGGACAGCTGGTAGTTCTCAGTTCCAAGGCCCCATGCCTCAGTAGTCCCAACCTGACACCAGAAGCCTGGAAGGTTCCCAGAGAGCTAGCTGCTGGTCCCTGACCTAGGATGAAAGCTTGGAAACACTCGCTCTGCTCTCAGTGAAGGAATCAGCAGCAGCAGCAGCAGAATGAATCAACTCAGTGGCGAGAGCAAAGGGCAGTGGAGCAAGAGATGAAACCAGTTCTTTCTGACCAAGCCTTTGTGGGGGGGCTGCTACCAGAAAACAAACGGCATCAGGCTTGTCGTGTGAGGAACTTCAGGTACAGGTTCGAACTCAGTGGGTCTGGGCAGGAGCTCCAGATTCTGCTTGTCATCCAAAAGACACTATGTCAGTCAGCTTCCTGTGACTATGACAGAATACCTGAGAGATGATGTTAAAGACTGAATGGTGGATTTGGCTCACAGTTTCAGCACCATCTGTCCAGGTAGGCTGACTCCACTGCTTTGGGCAAGGAGCAAAGCAGGATGGGATATCATGGCAGGGGAGTACGTGGTAGAGCAGATTGTTTACTTCACCGTAGCCAGGAAACAAAGAGAAAGGGGGGAAAGGGCAGGGATAAGACATAGTTACCACGGGCATACCTCTGGTGATCTCTTCGATTAGGCCGGACCTCCCGAGTTCCCATTACCTATCAGTTGATGAACGCATTGATCTGTCAGTCCATTGATGGCTCAGGGCCCTCATGATGGAATCATTTCCCCAAAGCCCCACCTCTGAGCATTGCTGCCCTTGAGGACCAGGTTTTCAACACCTGAGCCTGAAACCATGGCGTTTCACATCCAATCCATGGCATGCATGAGCTCTGTGGGTGGAGGGACCACCGTTTCAGCAGTGAGGGTGTCAGTTAAAGGTCACAGGAATAGCTATTGAGAGAAGATCATGGGGTGGGAACTCGGCAGAGGCCTCCTGCAGAGCCCAGGTGAGGTGGGAGACAGAAACATACGGCCTGCTGGTTGCAACATACGGTTGCGATAGGATTCAACATGTCCGGAACAATTATTAACAGAATATGGGTGTGGCCAAAGACAAGGCTGCAGGGCCCAAAGCCCTCTGTAGAGGACTCTGGCTTCGCTCTTTATCATGTTGTACAGATAGGCGTGTACAGTTGGATCCTTTAAGTTGAACTGAAATTCATGTAAGACACAGTTCACTAGCTTTAACAATGCCCCCCCGCCCCAAAAAACCCCTGCACCCATTAAACAATCATTTCACTGCTTCATCCCCTCTCCCCCTAACCCCCAGCAACCACAAATATGCCTTCCATCTCTGGACTGTGCCCACTTGTTTTACATTGTATGGGAGCGGTTTGACTTTCCTAAAAGGCCCATTCATACTGGAATATATGTGAACACCTCATTCATTTCTTAAGGTTAAATAACATTCCATTCCATGGAGATACAACTATTGCTTTATCCATTCATCTCTTGATGGGCAATTGTTTTGTTGACTACTGCAAAAAAAATGTTGCTATAAATATTTATGTACAAGTAATTGTTTGTGTGTGTGTATATATATACTTTCACCATGCTAGGGCATATACTCAGAGTGGAGTGTAGCACAAATCTTAAATGGTCTTATTAATAAGAACAAACCCAAGGCCAGTTATTGGGGTGAACACTGGAAGATCAGAGAAGCAGAACAAGCCACAGCTTCCTCACCTCACCAGTTCCTCAGCTGATCCTGTTTCCTCAGGCTGGAGTCCTCATCCAGAATGAATCTCTGCTGAACTGTTGCTCAAAAGCCTAAAAGCTTAACCAACCAGTTCCTGGTTTTCACACCTTTTATACCTTTCTGTTTTCTGCCATCACTTCCTGGGATAAAGGTTCTTGTTACCACCCCTGGCTGTTTCCAGTGTGGCTTTGAACTCACAGAGATCCAGATGGATCTCTGCCTCCAGAATGCTAGGATTAAAGGTGTGTGTGCCACCATTTTCTGGCCTCTATGTCTGTCTAGTGACTGTTCTGTTCTCTGACCCCAGATAAATTTATTAGGGTGCACAATATTTTGGGGAACACAATATCACCACAGTGGAGTTACTAGATTTTTAAGAAATTTTATGTTTAATTCTTTAAGGAAGTAGCAAGCTTTTGAACATATTGCCAAATTCAAGGTCATGAACGATTACTGTTACAATTCAAGTGTTTGGTAGTTTTCATTCTTAAATTTAGGTCATTGGATTGCGGGGGGGGGGGGGGGGGTTGGTTTGGTTTTTTGAGATAAGGTTTCATTGCGTGACCCTGGCTGACCTCAAACTTGTAGCAACCCTCTTGTCTCTGCTCTCTGGGTTCTGGAATCACAGCTATGAACACCACACCCAGCTTCAGTCATTCGTTCTGAGCTACTTGTTTGAATATGGTGTGAGGGACAGTCCTTCTTTAGTGACCATTGGCTTTGGAGCATTCTGCAGCTTTGACAGGAGAAAAGGCCAGCAAATGTCCGCAGGCGGTTCTCAACCCTGGATGTGATAGAATCACCTGCAGTGTTTTTAAAACCCAGTGCCCTGACTGCCCCAGGTCAAGGCTGTCATCATCTCTGGAGTGCCACATTGTCCAGTGGTTCTCACATTTGAGCATGCATCAGAACTGCCTGGGGGAGCATATTAAAACACACACACTCCAGGCCTAGTCCTCAGAGTTTCAGATTTTGCACCCTGGAAAAGGCAGGAGGCCTACTAGTCTGTATTTCCAGTAAACTCCCAGGTGCTACTGAGCTACCACTGGCCTGAGGGCCACACTTTTGAACCACCATAAGACAACAAGGAAGCCAGGCTGTGGTGGCACACACCTTTAATCCCAGCACTTGGGAGGCAGAGGCAGAACTCTGTGAGTTCGAGGCCAGCCTGGGCTACAGAGGGAGTTCCAGGACAGGCTCCAAAGCTACACAGAGAAACCCTGTCTCAAAAAAATAAAAAACAAAAACAAAAAACAAAGAAACCACAGCATTGAAAGGCTGTCCCCTCCAGCACAAAGGACTTACAAACTCATACTGAGGCAAAACAGAAAACAACCAAAGACATGTGTGGTCGCTCCTGAGGTTTTCTCCAGGCAACTTTATGTGTGACCAGAAGCTGCTTCTCCTTAGGTGAGACACTGTGGATCAGAGTCAACAGATACCTGATGACAGCTTACTGGTAACTTAAAAAGGCACTAACTGATAGGCTGGGACCTGCTCAGTGAGCAGGCCATGAGCCTCATTGTAAAGCAGTTGGCGTCTGTGTCCCATGGCAAAGTAAAGTATGACTGGAGCTACTCTCTGCTGGGCAAGAAAACAAGCTATTCCTTGTTTCTTATGCTCAGCTTCTTTTTGCAAGGGCAGCTGAGCCACAAAGGATGCTAACCGGCTAAGGCAGCTTCCCCCAGCTTCTGAAACTGAGCGGCAAGCCCGGTCCTAATAGGCAGGACTAGAAGTCATGGAACGTTCGCAAGCAGGGCACCGTGAAGGCAAGTTGAGCTGCTGCTCCTGGAAGACGCAGTGCCTGTGGTTAGAGAGAGACTCTCACAGGCTCCTTCTCTAGCTTGCCGCTTGTTCGAGCAAACCCTCTCGGATGTCCCTGCTTCCCCTCAGGAGACCAAAGCTAGGCTCTCCTGTCAGCTGGCAAGCTGGCTTCCAGAGCTCATCTTGATCTTGCATGCAAACTTGGAAGCGTTTTCCACGCTGACAGGGGAGCCTTCTACATCAGCATTCCTAGGACTTGTCAGACCCCAGGCCCACTTCAGACCCGCTGGACCAGAATCTCAGGGAACAAAGGGCCCGAGTGTCACCCTTTTTGTACAAGACTCCGGGTATTGCTAAAGAAACACTAGTGTGCGCGAATCTCTGAACTAGCAATTAATCCCAAGATTGGCACACTCCGTGGAACTGAGGCCATACCCCAGGAGAGACCCCAGAAATCACAGAAGGGCTTGGGGCCGTGTTTTGAGAGAAGAGAAAATTGGTACTTGCAGAAAGTAAAGAATTGCAGCATGTGTTTGTGGAACACATCGAAGTTCACAGTTGCTAATGGTTTGAATACGGTTTAGCCCTTCCAGACTCACATTGAAACTTAATGTTCACTGTGAGCCAGCTCAGGCTGTGCCGTCACGAATAAATCCATATTGCCATTCGTGTGAGTAAAGGACCAATGGGTTAATGCTATCTCAAAACTGAGTCTGTTGTAGAATCCAGCTTGGTTGGGCTGATCTCTCACCAGGGGATGTTTCTACAACACTTTAGGACTCCATCACCAAGGGAACCACCCACCAATGGGGTCCTTTAACTTTGGACCAGAACTGAGAGCCCAAATCACTCTATTACTTACCCCATCTCTGGTGCTTTGTTATTATGAAATAACAACAGAAATGAACGAAGATGACTGTCAAGATAAAATTAAAATCAGTCTGGGGCTTGATAGTAGCCCCAGGAAAAAGCATGACCTTAGCATGCAGAGATCTTGGCCTCTGGGATGCTTTTTTTCTTCCCAGTATAGAGGCCAAGTGCAGGAGTTTGCATATGCTGGATAAGTGCTCACCCACCACCGCCTATAGCCCCAACCCTCCATTGTTTAAAAGCAAGTCTCATGACATAGCTCAGGCTAGCCTTCAACTAGCTAAGTAGTAGCTTCAAACTTGAGATCTCCCTGCCTCCGTCTCCTTGGTGCTGGGATTAACGACAGGAGCGACTGTGTCCATCCAGAATGCCACTATTAAAATTTCCATAAAAAGCAAAACATCTGTTAATCCTGGGCTATGTAGAGAGCTCCCAGGCACCATCCCAGGCTATGTGGGGAGACTCTGTCTCCAAACCAAATGAAATAAAAACAAACAAAAGAAGAAGCAAGCAGGGTACAGCAGTGCACCTTACCCTCGAGGCTTCAGGCAGCAAAAGCAGAAAGGCCACGGGTTCCAGAAAGGTCTAGGCTATAGAACAAACAAGACCTTGTTTCAAAAAATAAAGACAAAGTAAAAGCAAACTCAGAGTCCAAGGTGTTGCACAGTCCTAGTACCAGCAACAGACTCAGTACCGGCAGCTTTCTTCCAATAGCTGTGACCTTTACCCAATCAAAACCAACCAAGGAATCATCTCTACCTGTGACCACACAAGCTGTCTGAAAGGAACACGGTAAACAAACTACTGATGAATTCAGGACAGGGAGTCCTGGTCACTTGGCTCTTCCCATAGGCGCTAACCAGCCATTTCCTACTAGAGGTAGACTCTACTGTTAAGCTTAGCGAGACCCAGGCTGGGGGACCGAGGAGGAGGAGGAAGCTTGGACACCTCGAGCTGAAGACAAGAGTCTGGCTGGTGCTTGTTTGGTCCCTTTACCCACTGCTTAATACAACCCTCTGCCTCTGAAGGTGCTTCCAACGTACGCCACGTCCAGGCTCAAGGTTTTCATTACCCCCAAGGCCATGAACATGTCCTGTTCATCCTACAGAAAAGTTATGGATCAGGGGAACTAGAAGCCTTCAAAGCAGTATTCTAACACTTTACAGACATAAATCCCTGAGACTCAAATATTAGTAGCTTTATGATGTACGCCCTTCGACGTATGGAAGCCACAAGGCATTTTATGAAGACCCAGGTTACAAACAGCTGTATTTTTTTTCCCTCACCCATAAAATGA